CCCCTCCCCCGCCTGCTCCACCACCCCCGCCTCTGCCGCCTGCGTCGGCGGCGTCGGTCTCGGTGAGGACGTAGAAGAGGAAGGGCTCGACGTCGTAGAAGAGCGACTTGTGGTCGAGGAACATCTTGGAGAGCAGGCAGAGGTTCTGGCAGTACAGCTTGTGCGCGCGCCCGTCGATCTCGTAGATCGAGAGCGTGCCGTCGCGGTAGATCTCGTTGCCCGGCGGGTGCCGCGCTTTGCACTTTAGCCTGTAAGCACACACCACCCACACTTCATCAGTCTTCTCGCACTTTATACCCTGATGATAGGTGTGGACTTACCGGTGGCGCGCGGCGGTAAACTCGCTCTTCATGCCCTTCAAGCAAAACTCGCACAGCCAGAGCCGGCCGTCGGGGATCTGCGCGTACTCCTCGGGGAACGGCGCGTCGTACCACGTCTGGATGTCGTACACGCCCAGCCGGATCGTTTTGATGCGCGGCTGGCTTGGCCCCGCCGCGCTGGGACCTACAGGCGCGATGGGAGTGGTGAGGGGGGCGGGTGTGGAAGCAGAGGCGGAGGGGGACTGGAGGCGCCCGTCGAGGTCGAGGAGCGGGTTGGACGGGGCGAGCGCGGCGAGGTGCGCGGAGCGGGTGTTGCGCACGCCGGGGCCGATGCCTGAGAGGGGTTTTGCGGGCGGAAGGCCTTTCGCCTGTACAACACACATCACATTATCCGTCAGTAGATGCTTGAGAGGAGAGGGAGGAGGGGAAGTTACCTCGACGGACAGCCGCGCCTTCTCGAAGCGGGTCTTGTCGGACGCTGCGATTGTTGTTCGGGTTGTGTCGCGTTGGGGTGTTGTGAGGACGTCGGCGTATTCGTCGCGCTCGGGGGTGGAGGAGCGTGCGCGGTCTTTGCCTGTTCGAACGTGATGTTGTCAGCATTTCGTGTGCATGGAAGAATACGGAGAGAAGATGAGAAGAGTGGAGGATGCGAGAAGGTAGAGTTGACAGCTTCGTCGCAAGGCGCTTCCGACCCCTGCCCGTGAGAGTCCACCACCACTCTGCATCCCACTGTGCTTTCCGCGCCGCCTCTCCTCCCCAACCTCATCTCCAAAACAGTTGACTCCTCACCTTTATTCAGCTTTATCGTCAGCTTCGTCGCCTTCTTCCTCTCCTCCTCCTCCTCCTCATCCGCCTCTGCATCCGCGTCCACATCGTCCTCGCCCGAGTCGTCCGAGGGTTTCCGCCGTTTGCGCGGTTGGGTCATTGTATTCCTGCGTCGTTTGAGTGAGGATGAACTAGCGATTGGCGCCGCGTCGCTGGTTGTGGGCGCTGCGGTAGAAGCGGAAGGATTGGCGTTGGGGATTAGGGCGCGGTTCTTCGGCGGACGGCCGCGGGGGCGTTTGATGGGGACTGCTGGAGCGTTGACGGCGGGAGTGGCGGGCGCGGGCGCGTAGTCTGGTATATCCGGTGTACCCATCGCCGTCGCAGCTGGCTCTCCAGGGACTCCTGGTCCAACCAATCCGCTACCCACAAGTTCCTCGTCCTTAACCTCCACCTCAGTCCGCGTCTGCACGGGCTGTCCAACCCCATCCACCACCGGCCGCAACACCGGCTCCCCGTTCTCATCCACCACCGGCATCCCGTTCTCATCCAGCGCATACGGGCTCGGCGGGTGCTCGACGCCCTGCGGGTTGCCCGTGCATTTCGGGCAGAACCAGTCGCCCTCGGGCGGGCTGGGGAGCGCGGGGGTGAGGCAGTGCGGGTGCCAGCCGCGGTCGCAGGATTCGCAGAGCGTCATGTCCACCTACCAATATAACGCATCAGAGAACACTCTAGAGATTTAAGTGGTGTGGAGGGGGCATACCTCTTTGGGATCGGTGTGACAGACCTCGCATTTCTTGCAGTCGTTGCATTTCCAGTCGTAGGACGCGACGGCTTGTTCGATGGGTTTGAGGTGCGCGCAGGACGGGTGCGCTGTACATATCTCATCAGTACATTGTATATAGAATGGGAAAAGTGTGATGTGTGATATGAGGAGACGCGGTGATGCAGACGCGACGCGACGCGACTTTGCCGCGGACGATGGTTCAAACGCGACGCGTCCAAGTTCATACCGACGCGCTACCACCACTCCAGTAATAGAATACAGCACTTACCGCTCCTTAAACACTCCGCACAGCTAATAAGCCCGTCGTCCCGCCCATCCGCGTTCTTCTTCTTCCTGTGCCCGCAGAACCCACAGTTCTTGTCCGCGTTCTTCCGCGGCTTGAGCTTCTTCGGCGCCGGCTGCACCTCCTGCACCACCTGCAATTCTGGCTGAGCAAAGGGCTGGGAGGGTGCGGGGAGGGGTTGAGGGTAAAAGTCGGGGAGCTGGGGCGCGAAGGGGTCGCCCTGTGGCCCGGGCGAGAAAGAGTCGTGGTTCGTGGGCGCCGGCGCGAGGCTCTGCGTCTGCTGCGTACACAGAATAATATATTAGGCTGTGTTGTATTATAAACTGTAAACAATGGGTGACGCTTGCCTGTTCGAGAGGGAGAGGTGGGGAATACTCGCCGCTCTGCAAGGCGGGATCGAGCAATAACGGGTCGATCAACACTCCACCACCAAGCTCGCCGTCGTCCGGCCCGCTCTGCTCGTCGACAGACGCGCTGACCGCTCGCGCGTCGGGGAACGACAGGCCGACCATGCAGCAGAATAAGATTAGGTAAGAATCTGCAGATGGCCGTCGGGTGTGGTTTGGAGACGCGACTCGGTGAGCCGGCGCTTGAGGGTGGGCTTGCGACGCACGTGGTCTGACATCCACGCACTGACCTAGTCGTTCTCCACGACGACCACCACGCCCACCCCCCGTCCCTCCCCCCCACATCCCCTCATCAACGTTGTCCATCTACACCACATCGACAATAACAATGCAGAGCGCGACGCTCCTGCAGTACACGCCGCGGCGCAACCTGCCCACGACGAACACGACGAACACGCCACCGCAGCCGCCGCCGTCGACGGCGCGCAAGCGCAAGCGGGCGGCGCCGGCGCAGGTGACGGTGTCGTACAGCGAGGTGCAGGAGCGCGACGAGCAGGGCCGCGTGCGCGAGGTGCTGATCATCGACGATACGCCCCCGCCGCCCACCGCATCGCCCGCCCTCTCCTCCCGCACAGCCGGCGGCTACTCGGCCTCGTACCAGCCGCCGCTTCTCAGCGCGCCTATCAGGACTCGAGCAAGGGCGGCGGCGGAGGCGCATCAGGCGAGCGGGAGCAGTGCGACGGCGAGTCTGCCGGTGCAGCCGCCGGCGAAGAAGCGGAAGAGGGAGGCCGAGCCGGCTACGGCGAGCAAGAGGACGAACAATGGATACGGTGCGAGCGGGGCGCAGGGAGTCGTTGCGCCTGCGCATAATTGGAGCGCGAATGCGGTGGCGGCTGTACCGCCCGCTGACGAGGTACGCGTACTACACTTTATTATTATGTGGTTTGGATATGTTGTGCTGACGGTATACCAGGCATGCGACGACAAGGAGGGCCATTACATCATCCGCCAGGGAGACCTCATCTACAAACGCTGTCCGTCCCTCCCTCTGCCTCTACTCAACATGAACTTGAGACTGATACTGATATTGACTGCGCAACAGACGAGATCGTGCGACTGTTGGGCCAGGGCACGTTCGGCAAGGTCGTCGAGGCGCGCGACCTGCAGACGGGGCAGCACGTCGCGGTCAAGATCATCCGCGCCATCCAGAAGTACCGCGACGCGAGCAAGATCGAGGTCCGCGTCCTCAACCGGCTCAAGGAGAAGGACCCGCTCAACAAGCAGTGCGCCCCCCCTCCCTTCCCATTTTATCTCAAGTTTAACTAACACCACTCGTCGCAGCAAATGCATCCACCTGCTGAGCTGGTTCGACCACCGGAACCACATCTGCATCGTCTCCGAATTATTGGGGATGTGCGTCTACGACTTTCTCAAGGAGAACGACTTTGCGCCGTTTCCGCGCCACCACATCCAGGACTTTGCACGGCAGCTCCTCGGCTCCGTCGCCTGTGCGTACCCTCCCTCTCCCTCCTCTCTCCCCCTCCCTTTCCCTTTCTTTTGCGTTATCCCGCCTGTGCCTTCTATTGCCGCTCCTTGCGCTTGATGGAATGGGGGCGGCTGCTTTTTGTGAGCCGCTTTTGGGATGCGTTCGCCGTGGGCATCAGCACGCGCCCCGAGCCTTCCCGCTCCGGCAACTCGCCGCGTACCCATCCTTCCCACGTCCTTCGCGCGCACGTACCCTAATCCGAGCCCTTCTGCTCCACGTCCCCCTTCTCACCGCGCTCTCTCCCCTTTCTCCCGCTTCCTGTCCGCCCGTCTTTTTACGTGTGGCTTTGAGCGCCGGGGGTGGGCATGCGCATCCTGTTATCGATAGGGAGCGCTGTCCTTATCTGCGTTCGCCGCTATCCCCATTGAATGGAGATGGGCGGCTATATGCGCGCTGTTGTGCACGTTCATATCGTTCCGCGCGTCCCGCGTTCGCGTCGGCGCATATAAACACCCCTTCTACTTCGCGCCTCGCCTTCTTCGCCTGCTCTCGCCCTTCTTCACCCTCGCCTTCACCCCCACGAACGCTTCACTCTCCACGAACGTTCGCGCTTCAAATGACGTTGCTGACCGAGATGTGCAGTCCTGCACGACCAGCACCTGATCCACACGGACCTCAAGCCGGAGAACATCCTCCTCGTCCATAACGAGTACAGGCAGGTCCCCTGGGGCCTCCCCAAAGTCAGTTATGTGTGTCCTTCTCCCCGTCTCCTCTCCTCTCTCCCTCCTCTCTCCCTCCTCTCCCTTTACCCTCTTCCCCTCTCTCCGTTCTCCAGCCCCCACCCCCGTCTGAAGCATGTGGTGGGGATGCTGATGCTGACAATGTGCAATAGAGGGGAGCGCAACCGCGCATGAAGCGCATACTGGAGAGCACCGACATCCGCCTCATCGACTTTGGGAGCGCGACGTTTCAGGAGGAGTACCACAGCAACGTTGTGTCTACGAGGCATTATCGCGCGCCGGAGATTATTCTGGGTACGTGCTTCGCATTTCCCACCATGTCTTCTCCCGCTTTCTCGAAGCCCCATCCTTACGCAAAATAAGAGGACAATATGCTGACGCGCTGAGTAGGGCTGGGCTGGTCGTACCCGTGCGACGCGTTCTCGCTCGGCTGCATCCTCGTCGAGTTCTACACCGGCATCGCGCTCTTCCAGACGCACGACAACCTCGAGCATCTCGCCATGATGGAGATGGTGCGCCCTTTCTTCGTCTCTCCCCGTCTCCCTCCTCTCCCATCTCCTCTCCCTCTTTCCTCCCCCTCCTCCTCTCGTCATCATCATAAAGAGAGTACAAGTACTGACCTATGGTGTGGTGTGTGCAGGTGATGGGCCGCATGCCGGACCGCTTCGCGCGCGCGGGCGCACGCGCCAAGCCCGAGTTCTTCAAGGACGGCGCGAAGCTCGCGTGGCCGGCGCCCAAGACTAGTAAGACGAGTAAGAAGGAGGTGCGGTCTACGCGCTCGTTACCAGTACGTTCCCCTTCCTCTTCCTGCTCTCCCTCTCAGCCCTCCTTTCCGCCCCTTCCCCTTCGTTCGTGTGTATGAAGATGAGAGAGGATGCTGACGCGAGTGTTTGCAGGAGATCATCCCGCCGACGGACAGCGTGAACCGGCAGTTCCTGGACCTCGTAAGAAGGCTGTTGGCGTTTGACCCGGCGGAGAGGATCAGTGTGCGGGAGGCGCTGCAGCATCCTTATTTTACGCTCGGCGTGCCGCATGAGAACTGAACATTCGCCGCCGTCGTCCACCTCGACTGGAGAAGTCCGCCATATCAACGCCCCGCAGGAGCTGCAACGCCGACGACCGCAGGAGCCGCCTCCCCGCAGCAGGAGCCGTGAACCACAGGACCGAAACCGCTTTTGGATGCCTCACGCCATGCCCGTCTACCGTCGTTTATCTGCCCTATCGCACCGCACCGCAATCCGCTCTCGCTATCTATCGTTCACCGTTCATCGTCCAACGCTGCTCAACTCGCATGTACTTTATAACAACCCACGATCCCCACCACCGCTCCGACATCGGATCTAGCATCAGTCAATATCGAAGTACTGTCGACCCCTTGCACCCACGATCATTGTTCGTCTCCCGACTCTGGATGCGGGGCCTACGCCCCGCGACGTCCCGCCCAATGCCCCCTGCCTAATGTTCATCGCTCGCTCCGCTCGTCCGATCGTCACTTGTTTGATACATGTACAATTCCTCTCTTTCGAAGTCCCATCTACGTTTATTCTCGTTCTCGTCCGTTCTCGCGTCGTGCTGCTCAATCGGAATATAGAAGATTTCATCAACGTCCTCACCAAGAACCGCGTGCTTACTTTCTACTGACACGTTCTTGACTAGGGACCCGCAGGTCGACTGAGCGACTTCAGACTTCAGAGGAGCAAAGGAGAGGAAGAAAGCGGCTGTGGACCTGGTCGGCGTGCCATTCGTGACACCGGGCGAGCGTCCATGCCGTTGCCGTTCTCCTTGCTTCCTGCCTCCTCCTCTGAAGAGAGTCGCTCTGCGCCTGCGGGTATGGTCGCTGCGCTGCGCGCCATTTTATCTGACTCGACTGATAACAGACGAGATGGGGAGCGGTGCTGAGCTCAGCGGCACATTCCGTGGTCCGGGGATGGGCTCTCGCGCGTTTTGTGCAGGCCGATGTTGTTCCGCATGCGGGCTTGCGCTCATAGCGAATGTGCGCAGAGCTGATAGACCTCATATTTCAATGCAACGTGCACCATCGGCGCTCGGTTCATACTGACGCATTCTGAACTAGAGACTCGCAGGTCGATTGAGCGACGAGCTGAGGAAGAAAAGAAGAAGAAAGCAGTCATGGACCTGGTCGGCGTGCCATCCGTGACACCGGGCGAGCGTCCATGCCGTTCTCTTTGCCTCGTACCCCCTCTGAAGAAAGCCGCTCTCGGCCTGCGGGTGCGGTCGCCGCGCTTTGCGCCACTGCGTAACCCCGTCCCTCTCCTGCTGACCTGGTTGCGTTGTTAAAGCAGAGGCTATCGGGGGCGCCTGGCGCCAAGCTCAGCGGCCCATTCCGTAGCCCTTGTCGTGCTCTCGCGCGTTTTGACCTTGGGGAGGCTGATGATGATTCAGACCGTGTTGTGCGAAGGATGGATGAAGAGATCGAGGTGGACGCTCGGCACGTGGTTGTGGCATGCCGCGGTATCGGTGCCGTTTCTTCATTGTCCAGTTCGGCTCCAGCGCGCTGAGGTTGTGATAAGATGGACGAAGCGCCAGGATGGGGTGTGATGGATGGGGTGATGCAGGCGGCAGGACGGTGAAGATGATCTGAACCACCACGGTCTCCTCATACCGATTCCCTGGTCAATTCCGCGCGCTGATCTCAGTTCAGTGAAAGCGATCCTTGACTCGGCGGTTCAGTCTGAAGTTCCCGCTGTGCACATACTCGAAGCTTGAAGCTGATTGCCTGTGCTCAAAAGCTAACTCTTACCAGGAAGTGGCGACCCTCGATGGCCGCTTGCGGCCTTTCAAGTTCAGCAGCGTGGCTCGCGTCGGAGGAGTAGTTTGCCCTGTGAACTTCTCCCCTCACCCTCCGGATCAGGATCAGGACGTCCGCCCGTCGGAGATGAAAATCTGCTGTACATGAGGCGACTCACGCTGCGCAAAGTGAGAGAAGCACCTTGTGAGGGTTGGTACAAGGGGATGCGGAACGGCGGGCCACGGGCGCCGAGCTCTCCATGCACTGTCGCAGCTTTTCAACTCCGCCAACGTATTCATGGAGGATATATGACTTGAGAGAGGACGGGTAGGCTCATATTTCGTCCAGTTTCGCACTAGTACTGTGCAACAGATTCTGACTATCTGACATAGGATTGGAAGTCGAGCTTTAGCGAGGAAGGCGCTCGGGCGCCGTACTACACCGTACAGATCGTACGTTCAACGTGCTAGATAGTCCATCTCTCTTCACTACTAACGTCCTACAAATCGCAGAAATAACAACGTCTGCGGCTCAGCCCGAATGCACCTCGCCGAAATAATCAACGGCCCGAGATCCGCATCCCAGCCTTCGCGCGCGGAGGAACCGGACCACCGAACTTCACTCCCCTGTGGCGGCTCGTTCCGAGGCCCTTGTTTGTGCCTCCATATTTGGTGGCTCTGAGAGGAAGGTGCTCACGCCCGTGCATGCGTAACTCTAAAATAGGGTTGATGCCGAATGCCGAGGTCGGCGGCGCTCGCCGCGTCCGTGGCGTACTGCAACTTTATGTCACGCACGGAATATTGTAATCGAGGCAGTTTGTGATCGCGGTCGCTGTGGGCCATATCTGCCGTTCGAGAGACGTGCTCGACGCTTCTCGGGCTTAGGCGTGTGCGATGCCGCCGGTGCCGTAGAGGATTGCCATGTGCTCGTGTATGCAGGATAGCAGGATGGTGTAAACCCTCGCGGCGGCCTCGTACGGTTTGTGACCACGACTGTCGTAGTCCGTGCTAGCTTGTGGTGGCGTTGCGCTCTGCCGAGAGGCTATACATTGGATCTTCAGCTCCTACACTTCGATTCATACCAAACGCCATGGCCTGTATCGTCGAATATTCTTCGTTTCTGCCCGATCTTTGTCATTGGGGACCGATGACCCCCGAGCGTATGCTCGCTCGCCAGTAGTATTGTACCCGCGCGTAGCGGCGTGAACGGCGTACGCGATACCCCGTTCGCCCTGGCCTTGTCTCTCTTTTCATCCTGCGCCCACGCTCGGAGTGGATAGGAGTCCGCCACAATGTGTTCAGTCAAACGCACCCCTGCCCATTTGTCTTCGATGGACTCTATGTCTCGTTTACTCTTCTTCTCATTCACGTACATCTTGTTCGTATCTTTTGTTCAGTCTCAAGCCAGCGCTCGACATGAGAATGTAAATGTGATGCTTACACTCGCTCGATGGTTTGCGAGGGCCAGCTATAAAGAGTCGTACCGATTGTCGTTTGTTGAACATCCGCAGCCCGCTCATCTTCAGTATCAGCAAGCGCAGGACCTTTCCAAACCGTCACAGCAATGCCATCGTATATTCAGCCCACATCCCAGTCTTTCTTCCTCCCGGACCTCCTCTCCTTGTCCACGCCTTTCAAGGGCTCGACGAACCCTCACTACGCGCGTGCTGCGGCCGAATCCCGCGCTTGGGTTGCCAAGTATGCACACATCTTCGGTGATCAAGAGCGTGCGGCGTTCGCGATGGGGTGCAACGAACTCCTGGTCGCGCATACCTATCCTCGCGCGGGCTTTGAAGAGTTCAGGACTGTCTGTGACTTCGTCAATCTTCTCTTCGTGGTACGTGCAGTCTCATCTGCGTAGAACGGTACTCACCGAGAAGAAACAGGTCGATGAAGTTAGCGACAAGCAAAGCGGCGCAGATGCCCGCGAGACCGGTAGCGTCTACCTCAATGCGATGCGCGACGCCGACTGGGATGATGGTTCGGTCATCTCGAGTATGACGAAGGAGTACGTCTCTTGCGTCCCTCTAGTACATATGTCTGCGACTTGGTGTTAACATCCTATCTGCAGGTTTCGCGCGCGTCTCGTTCGTAGCTGCGGCCCGCGTTCGTTCGCACGCTTCCTCCAACACAGCGCAGACTATGTTGCATGTGTGGCGCGGGAAGCCGAACTGCGCGAGGCGAACACCGTGCTCGATCCCCGCGGTTTCCGCGACTTGCGCAGGGAGAACAGCGCCATCCGCCTCTGCTTCGGGTTGTTCGAGTACACACTAGGCATTGATCTACCAGACCGAGTGTTCGAGGACGAGGCCTTCCAGGCGCTGTACTGGGGCGCGGCGGATATGGTGTGCTGGGCAAACGTGAGTCACCTTCATCTCGTACGACTGTGCACACGATATACCGACATCTTTACCCATCCAGGACGTTTACTCGTACGATATGGAGCAGTCCAAAGGTCACACAGGGAACAACATCGTGACTGTGCTCATGCGAGCATACGATCTCAGCCTACAAGAGGCCAGCTCACGCATTGGCGAGGTGTATTCGGAACTCATGCGCGCCTATGTCGACGCCAAGGCTCTCATCCGCGCGCATTCCTTCGGCGATGCCAGGCTCAACGCAGATGTAGCTCTGTACATCGAGGCTATGGAAAATTGGCCGATTGGCAACATCGTGAGTCGCAAGAATACATCAATACCCGTCCTTCATCACGGATGCTGATCCTCGGCCATAGGTCTGGAGCTTCGAGACGGTGCGGTATTTCCCGAAGCCGACGGAGGTCAAGCGGACTGGGCTCGTCATCTTGAGAAGGCCTTCATACGAGGATAGCGACGTTTCATCTGAAGCTTCGGATTAGAGCGGATAGTACCAGATAGGCTCAGAATATAAGACCTCAACTCGTAGGATAGACGTATAGACAACCTGGCACTCGGCATGTACTTTTGCAATCTCCATTCATTTTCCTGATCAGGCAAGGTGCTCCTACGTTATCGCATATATGCGCGGCTGAGTGGTGAGAATAGTGATGAGAGGATCAATACGATGTATGCATCACCACTATGGCGTACTGCTGAGAGACGGTGGTCCGGAGCAAGTGGCGCACCGGGCGCCGGGCCGCGAGGCGAGGGTGCCCACGTTTGCCCACGTGGACATAGACATCTTGACGGTTTCACGTCTTCGCTGCCTTCGCTCCTCCTTTCATGGGCGCTTTGGCCTGCTATCCTTCAAACCACCCCCCGCGCGCTCGGGAAGCCTCCATGGTGTCATGATAGCTCTATTCAGCTTTTTGTATTGCCGTAGCAGCGAGATCTTTATTGTGCCAGCGGCTACATAAGTTGCCAGTGCGCGATTTCGTAGGTGGCGCTACTGTAGGAACGCAAGGCGATCCAACTCGAGCATCTAGAGACCACTCATCTCTATCTGATTCTGCAGAAAGTGGATACCTTCTGATACGGCCCTCAACGGTCTCTTCCCAGTGCCTATCTCTCGCCTTTCACTCGCGATTGTCTCCGCCTAGCTCCAGCGGCATTTCCGTGACTGTCGCAAAAACCTTTTGGGCCCGGTGAGTCCTTGTCAACCGTGTGCAGCCTCTGGCACTCAGTGATCAGACGCGGTCAGCTGATCGCGACCGGGTCGCCAGCTGGTGGCCAGACGGTGGTCAGACGGTCACCAGAGTCTGTGCAAGCGGTGTTCACCGGCCCATAACCTCTGAAGGAATTTTTTAATGATTAAAATACCATTTTCTGAGATTTTCTTGAGCGCTCGGCGAGGGCGATCAGCGCATTCCACGTGCAGCTCATGTTCTGGCGACCGGCTGGCGACCAGCTGGCGAGCCGCTGGCCACCACGCACGGGTCTGGTCACCCAGTGACCAGACGCTCGCCAGGCGCTCGCTAGGTGCTGGCAATGGCCGACACGGACTCACCGGGCCCAAAAGTTTTTGCGACAACAGCATCTTCTTCGCGTAGCATGTAGTACGGGATACTGAATGGCCGGGATAATGGCATGTGGGGATTACTCACCTGTGGCGCCGATGCTTCGTAAAGGGCGGACGCGTCGCCGAACGAGATACAATCTAGCATCGACAGCTTACGATGCGTACTGACAGCCATACTGGGCTTAATGCCCGAAGCTATCTTTTTGACTCCCGCCTAGGTATATCATTGTTTTCGGTCCTCCCGCACACATCCGCTTCTTCTATTCTATGCTACACAATCTGCGAAGTGGAATACGTTCCGGCAAGTGTCAACGATCTGTGCGGGACGATTCCGCGGCTCGGGGTTTCCTTGATGGATCACATATGGCTCTACGACCCTGTGGCTCTTGAGTATGAAGGTGATGTCTACCGGCCAGAGACTTATGGAGATAACATACTGCTGGCTGTTCTTCGTTCCGCACTAGTTCCTTATGGCTACAGTTTGTCAGACTGCGTAAGACTCACAGTGTCAGTCGTCAGAGTTTCGCTATTTCTACTTCAATGAACTGACCTTTATAAGTACCTCTGCAGACTGCGGTATCCTATCAACTCAGTCTCGAGTCCAAACGCTCTAGCAACAGTACACATTCCAAATCAGCAATGTCTACCAACCGCGACTCTAGTTCTATCGGACGCTCCTTCTATCTCCCGGATCTACTCTCCCTCTCTGCGCCCTTGAACGGCTCGAAGAACCCGCATTATGAACGTGCAGCAGCCGAGAGTCGTAATTGGCTTTCCCCATACATGCACATCTTCAATGACCAGGAGCGAGCGTCTTTTGCGCTAGGGTGCTGCGAGCTCCTCGTCGCGAACACGTACCCCAAGGTGCCATTCGCGGAGTTCAGAACCGTATGCGATTTCGTCAACCTGTTGTTTGTGGTGAGCGCATTGTCGTTCTAAACGGGGAGATGACGCTCACTGGCAGTAGCTCGACGAGGTCAGCGATAAGCAAAGCGGGGTAGATGCCCGCAAGACCGGTGACGTCTTCGTCAAGGCATTGCGCGAGCCCGAATGGGACGATGGCTCTGACGTTTCGCGCATGACGAAAGAGTATGTTCTTGTTCAACTGTTGTATCCCAGATGTCATGCACTGAACAACCGTCCAGGTTCCGGACGCGTCATATGCGCAGCTGCGGTCCCCATTCCTTCTCGCGCCTGTTGCAGTACTGTATGCACTACGTTGCATGCTTCGCAAGGGAAGCTGAGCTACGCGAGACACAGACCGTGCTTGACCCTCTGAGCTATCGCGACCTGCGCAGGGAGAACAGCGCGGTCCGGGTCTGCTTCGGCCTGTACGAGTATGCCCTCGGCATTGACCTACCCGACTCCGTCTTCGAGAATGAGACGTTCAAGACCCTCTATTGGGCCGCAGTCGATATGGTGTGCTGGGCAAACGTCAGTCCATTTCATCGATCATCCTTCTTCCGAGACGCTGAGTGGAGATGGCCCATGTGCGCAGGACATCTACTCGTACGATATGGAGCAGGCAAAGGGTCATACAGGCAACAATATCCTCACCGTGCTTATGCAGGCCCACGGCTTTGATCTGCAGGAAGCCAGTACATACGTTGGCGAAGTATACGCTGAGTTCATGCGCACTTACCTGTCCGCTAAAACGGACCTACGCGCGCACTCGTTTGGCGACGCACAGCTGGATGCGGATGTCGCACGCTATGTTGATGGGATAGAGAACTGGCCGATTGGCAACATTGTGAGCGTCCAGTCGCACACAATGCGGCACGCCCGGCCTTTGGCTGACTAATCTCCATAGATATGGAGCTTCGAGACTGTGCGCTATTTCCCGCAACCGAGCGAAGTCAAGACGACGAGGCTTGTGGTTCTCAGACCTACCATAGACGGACTTGGAGAGATGACGGCATAACATATGACGATAGATTGAAGAACGGCGAACAACAAGGGTGCTGAAGTACGGCGTATGAAGCTGAAAAAGTGTGCGAGTATGGTAGGGGATCTATCCGGCACGCGGCCGAAGTCGAATCATGAACGAGACTGTAGGTGATAACATAGCGTGTACAGACGTATGGAAGAGACGGCGTATGAAATATGCGAGTGGATGAAGCGAAGTGCGCTGATGGATGGCGTAGAACCTCCAGTACAAAAGCGGGTGATAGCGGACGAGAAAGCGTGATAGCAAGATAACAAAAGCGACAAATAGTCATACTATGTACGAGAGAGATGCGACGAAGAACAGGCAGTGACGAGGAGGTCAGAGCCAGAGCAGCAGAGCCGGTGGGGTAAATAGCCGCCCGCGGAGGCGAACTCAGCGGTACCGGTGGTGCCGAAGCTCGCGGAGGCCGACATCGACGTGACGGCAAGGATAGGCGCCTTGTTGGCGGTGGCGCCTGGTGCGGTGGACACTCAGGCGCATTCAGTGCGATGGTCTCGAGGACCCGGGGAAAAGACGGGCGACTCAATACGAAGAGCTGGCCGAGGACGAGGGGTTTGAAATCGCTAGAGTTCATGCATATGAGGCACAAGGGAGATATTACTGGAAGATGGTGGTCCGGAGCAAGTGGCGACTGTGCACACGTTTCTCCACGTGGACATAGACGCCTGGATGTTTTTGCGTCTTCGCTCCTCCTCCCATCGGCGCTTGAGCATGCTATCCTTCAGCTCACTACCCATACGTCGAGAAAACCTCTGCCATGCATTGATAGCTCTAGCCCACTCTGAGTTGTGCCGTGGTAGCGGGGTATCGATCGTGCCAGCCGCCATTTCAGGATTTGCCAGTACATGATTCGGCGGTAGCGCCAATGTGGGGTATTACAGGAACGCGAGGCGGTTCAACACGAGCACCTAGGATCACCTCATACGAAGCCAAATATGTATTAATTGGACGCCCTCTGATACGGTCTTCAACGGCCTCTCTCTGTTGCCTATAGGGCCTTGTCTCGACTTTCACTTCCTACGCTCCCGCCTTGCCCCCGTGGTGTCTCCGTGACAGCAGCTTGTTCACGTAACATCTAGTACGTGGTCAAGAATGGCCAGGATAATGTGCTGTGGGGATACTCGCCTATAACACCGATGCTTCGTAAAGGGCGGCCGTGTCGGACGACGTACATCCCGTCGAGAGCTTCCCAGGCGTGGTCTAATGACTGAAGCTATCTTCCTCACTCCCGCCTAGGTTTACAACCGTTCTCATTGTCCCCGTACGAAGCCGCGTCTCCCATTGTATCCTGCACAATTTGCGGAGCGTGATACGTTCCGGGATGTGTCAACGAACCGTGCCATACGATTCCGCGGTTCGGGCTTTCCTGTAATGGATCGCATGTTGCTCAATACTTCTGTGGCTATTGAGTATGAAGGTGAGGGCTACCGGCTAGGAGACTTATGGAGTTGCTGCAGTACTGGCTGTCTTCGTCCCGCACCAGTTCCACATGATCCACTATCTGTCAGTCACTGGAGGTTTCATATTTCTATGCGAATATACTGACATATATAAGTACCCCTGCAGACTGCGGCATCCTATCAACTCAGTCTCTCCTCCGACACGCTCTACTAGCAACACAACACGCATCCCAATCCAGAAATGTCTACCAACAACAACTCTAGTTCTATCGAACGCTCCTTCTACCTCCCCGATCTCCTCTCTCTTTCTGCACCCTTCAAAGGCTCAAAGAACCCGCACTATGCGCCTGCAGCAGCTGAGAGTCGTGCTTGGCTGTCCCAGTACATGCACGTCTTCGACGATCAGGAGCGAGCGACCTTTGCACTGGCGAGCTGCGAGCTCCTGGTTGCGAACACGTACCCCAAGGTGCCGTTCGAGGAATTCAGAACTGTATGCGACTTCATCAACATGTTGTTTGTGGTAAGCGCGTCGTCATATCGATCGGTGGCATGACGCTCAATAAAGGTAGCTCGACGAGGTCAGCGATAAGCAAAGCGGGGTAGATGCCCGCAAGACCGGCGACGTCTTCGTCAAGGCATTGCGCGAGCCCGAATGGGACGACGGCTCTGACGTTTCGCGCATGACCAAAGAGTACGTCTCCGCACTACTCTTGCGTCTGAGGCTTCACACACTGAGCACTGGCAACTGTTCAGGTTCCGAGCGCGTTTCGTGCCCACCTGTGGTCCCCGTTCCTTCTCGCGCCTGTTGCAGCACTGCGTGGACTACGTCGCCTGCTTCGCACGTGAGGCTGAGCTGCGCGAGACGCAGACCGTGCTCGACCCTCTCAGCTACCGCGATTTGCGCAGGGGCAATAGCGCGGTTCGGGTCTGCTTCGGCTTGTACGAGTATGCGCTCGGCATTGATCTGCCCGATGAGGTGTTCGAGAATGATACGTTCAGAAGCCTTTACTGGGCCGCTGTCGATATGACGTGGTGGGCAAACGTAAGTATGACATCTACCATCCTTCGTCCAATATACTGAGTGGAGGTGGTCAATGTACACAGGACATCTACTCATACGACATGGAACAGGCAAAGGGCCACACGGGCAACAACGTCCTCACCGTGCTCATGCAGGCCCACGGCCTTAATCTGCAGGACGCCAGTACATACGCTGGCAAGGCATACGAGGAATTCATGCGCACGTACTTGGGCGCGAAAGAGGATCTGTGCGCACACTCGTTCGGCGATGCGCAGTTAGACAAGGATGTCGACCGCTTCATTGAAGGGATAGAGAACTGGCCGATTGGAAACATTGTGAGTGGCCAAAGAACCATGTGGTAGTACGCTTGGGTTTTGCTGACCTGACTACACAGATTTGGTGCTTCGAGACCGTGCGCTACTTCCCGCAACCGGAGGAAGTCAAGAAGACCAGGCTCGTGGTACTTAGGCCCACCAAGGCAAACGTCGATCTGTCGTCCGGAAATTGAACTTGAAAAGATGAAGGCATAGGATAGAACAATGCATTGCAATACGTAGGAAACCAAGACATTGGGAGCGTATGGTAGAGATAGGTATGCGATATGTGACTGAAGCCGAATCATGACTGAGACTGTGTGCGATGACGTGACGTGTATAAACGTATGAAAGAGATAGCGTATGAAACGATGCGAGTGGATGAAACGATGCGAGTGGATGAAACGATGCGAGTGGATGAAACGAGGAATGAAACAGATGGCGTAAAACCCAAGAGTAAAGTACGAAAGAGAGTCGATAGCGAACGAGAAAGCGTGAAGACGATGTAACAAAAGCGACGGATAGCGATGCGATGTGGAGACAGATGTGGCAAAGAACAGGTAACGACGACCAAAGAAGTCAGAACCAGAGCGACGAAGCCGGTGGGGTAAGGTAGCCGCCCGCCGAGGCGAACTCGACGGTGGCGCGGAAGCTCGCAGAGGCCGGGATCGGCGTGACGGTAAAGAGAGGCGCCTTGTAGGCGGCGAAAGTCTGGTGCGGTGGGCACTGGGGTTCCTCGAACGCGATGGTCTCCATGGAAGGAGATGAGGGGTGGCTTTGAATGAAGAGCCGGTCGAGGATGAGGATGTCGGAATCGCTAGCGCGCATGGGACGCGAGGGAGAGATAGGCGCCGGAGGCGCGTGGCCGAGCGCGGTCGAGGCGTTAGACGCCGGAAGCTCGGTGAACTCGAAGATGGGTATCAACGGAGTCGTGGGTGGGGTCGGGTAGATATCCTCGAATACGCGGGTTGGCTTAGCAGTGTTGGTTGTGGTGGGCGGGGATGGGAAAGCGTCCAGCAGGGACGAGAAAGATACGCTCGAGTCGCGGAAGAGCGAGCTCACGCTGTCCTGAGACCTGCGATATATGTTAGTAAGAGCATCAAAGATCGACGCGAGATGCACGTACGGCATGCTATATGGGCTAGAGGCCTCTTCGTGCTTGCAAATGTCATCGACAGGCTGTTCAGCGACGATGGGAGTCGGAGGGGGTGTATCGAGGCCGATTTCGGCTGCGGGCGCCGCTTTGGGTAGCGATATATGCAGCTTGGGAGCGAGCGAGGGCGGTGCCGAGGTGTAGACTGGTAGAGGTGGTTGCACCGGCTCTTCGAATGAGCTGCAGACATGTATCAGCACTTGGCCACAAGGGGTATGAGAACGAAGAGCTCACAATGATATGGGTCTTGACATTCGCTTGCCGCGCACGACAGTGAACTCCTTCTCGGCGCTCCGACGAAGTTGCGCGTTCGGGGGCAGTGCGAGGTCCGCCCTGAGTAAGAATGGCTTGAACTGGGATACCGATTGAGGACGGGTCGACAACGTCGGGGCTGGGCCGGCGGTCCAAGATGCGTTCGCCTTGCGGCGGGACATGGCGCGGTAGTTGGAGACGGTGATGAGGATGATGACGAAGACAATGAGGACAGCGAGGAGAGCGTAGAGGAAGACCGGGGAGAAGAGGCCAGTGGGTGCGGAAGAAGACCGAGTTGAAGTAGGGATGGCAGGCATGGTATTGAGAGTAGGTTGGTGTTGAAGGTGGGTTGGTGTTGTTTGACGCGGGGTTGGCGTTGTTGAGGGCTCGCAGATGATATGCTTCTGGACTGCTCATCTCCCACTCAGAGAGTACGTCCTTTATACGCCCTTCGAGGACAGGCTGAGAGTGCACTCAGTAGCCGGCCTGGAGGAGGGTAGAAATTGGCCTAGTCGTGTCACTGTTGGTCCAAGACCGTGAGTTCAGGCAAGCAGCACTGAGAGCGAATAATGACTAACCTGAAGAGATGCTCAGTCGCTGAGACTCGAGCGGCATGTCATTTCGTAATGTCGTCAAGAATCCCGTCTCTCTAGAGAGGCCCAAGTGCGGGTGGACTCTGCGGCGGTATCCGGTGGCAAGACAGCACTTTTCTCCTGATGCGAGAAGGCGTTCTGGAGTGACGTAGGCCGTTGTGAGTCCAAGACTCGAAGGTAGCCGCCGAGTCCTCTGCGTAAAGTCGCGCAATCTTCAAAAACCACGCGCGAGTACCCGTTTTCTCGCCTGTACAAGGATCGTATATGCAGCGCCGTAGTCTGGGTTTGGAGGCGGGATCCTTGGCGGAATGGATTTGCAGGCGATATGCTTGGTATGCGGATTCGCGCCTGGTCCCTAGCTCTGAGACAGGTCCCGGTCGTTTCGAACTTCGCTCTTGCCAGCGTCGAGCGAGCATAGCTGCATCGCACAGGCTTGTGAAGCGGCAAGTGCCATTTACGCGAGCGTCATCCAACGATGTTGATGTTCGACGAAAGGCTTTCCAGCCTTGACCGTCAGAGCCGGATGGCACGCGAAGTTCGATTGGCCGCGGTACAATGAGGCTTGGGCGCAGGGCAAGTGTAGTGATTGCGGAAGCAAAGCGCTGACAGAAGGGTGAAGGATCGCCATGCGGGATACGCAAAGGGAAAGTTCTCCCCCATGACGGGACACAAACTATTGTATGGACAGGAGAGCGGCCCGGTGCAGAATGCGTGTTTGCCGGGAAAGGTATGACGGGGCCCTGCTACTGGGATCGTGCGCGTCATGTACGCAAAGGAGCTTCGGTCGCCTGAAGTAAAGAGGGGTTGCTGCACCATGCATCGAGAGCGGGCGTGAAGGCTCAGAGATGAGACCCGTAGTAGCGCGGGGGGTAGAGTTGGGTGCGAAATATGCCGCCTTCATCTTTCATCTCATCGTGCCGGAGTAGACTCTATCGAGCCACGCTCGCTTCTTTCTCGGACGTCACGCACGACGGTAGACTTGAAAAGGAGCTATAGCGTAGGGGTATGAGGTAACCGGATGGTCATGGTTGGGGACAAGTCGCGCCTGAGAACGAGTCATGGAGGCGCCTTAGCCTAACCGATGTTGCGCCGCGACCACCACCGTCAACGACGTCGAGCTCGGTTGCCTACGTGCGGCTCTATGCTCTTCATGTCACTTGCATTAGACCTGCACCGCTCCATGTCCTGTACCGTGAATGTATAATGCGAAGGCTATCAGGTATCTCGGGGTATCCCTCAGGTACTGGCCGCGCTCGAGAGCCAGAGCTGCGCAGGGACTCCGCTTGTCTTCCACCTTTAACAACAGGACATTGCTTCAGATCGTCTCGAAAGTACTGCCAGGATGCGCCAGTATATCTGTCGGCGGGAGTCACTCTGTATGGTCCTCCGGCGAGCGCGAGCGCACCGCTGCCTCGGCGCGCGGGTTCGGTAAACGACGGCGTCCCAAGGCATTCATTCCCGGTGGTGTTCATTTCTGTTGATACATATATCGAGGCTCAGCATGCTCTACTGTGTATACTCGATCTCGCTACAGACAGTGCTGCCCTGTCACCACCCATCTTTCTCTTCTTTTCTGGCACTGAGTACATTTTCCCTGCAATAAATTGGCAGCAGCTTCTTTCCTTGGAATGCTGTGAGACGGATCCAAACAGCCATAGACCTCCAAATCATGTTGTAGCGCATTACGAGTACTTCCCGAGTCTTGCTCGGGGAGGGCTCGGAATCAAGTCCGGAAAAATCTGTATGGTGGACCCCCTTTCCACCGCCACCACGGTTTGCCGATCTCCCGCTCGCTGTGCATCTCAAATATGTCTGTACACGGGCTGAAATCCGTCCATTGACAAAGAAGCAGCCGGTCAGCGACTGCGATGTATGTCAAACGGCCACTGCATTCAACTGGGTCATTGCCGACGACGAAGCGTCTAACGTATGTGGCTCTGTCGTTCGTAAGTAGCCTCGTGACCACGACGAGACCTTATGCAAGCTGGTGAGCGCAAACCGCTGCAGCTATTGATTTCATCGCTGACATGTCTACTTTTCTGCCGAAGACGCGTGTCCTTTGGGGCGGTGCACGGCGCTTCTAGGCGCGTGAACCTACTTCAACTGTATCCGCGCACTGGCCGCCCATACCGACGTTGAGCTGTGCCGGTCTCAAAATGGGCAAGGCCAGCTCAGAGTGCGTCCATGAGGACATTCATCTTCACGCTGTCTACGCGTGGATGCGTCCGGCTGACAGCCCTCGAGGGTGGTGTTCATATGAGCGCCCTCTCGCGTTTAGGGTATCTTGTTGGCCTCTATGGCAAGGGGCATGCTGGAGGCACGCTGTTATGGAATCTGGACTTCCTCGGAGGCTTCATCGGGAGCGATGCAACTGCTCTCGTAAGGAGAGGCCGTCTACGCGCACGATTAGCGTCAGGCTTTGGTATAGTCCGTCTCGTTCGATCTGCGCCACCGAACGCCATGAACGGGCGAGGAATGCTACACCCAGAACCTACACCTTCGAAAACTTCGCCGACACTTGTAGGCCGCTTGATAACAGCGGTCAAGTCGCGTAGGTAGCGATGGCCGTGACTGGAAAACCGAGATGCGCGCTGACCGTGGCCGAGATGCTGTGTGTTTCGAAATTAAGCCCGAGTGGTCTACGCGAGTACGAGGCGAGGCTTTGTACCCTGTAACGAAGGAAAGCTCAAAGGCCCATCCTATTCAGGCCATAATGTAGACTATTGTTGTCGATGCTTTCAACTGTCCCTAGAACAAGTGTTGCGTTTTGTGATTGAAGTTCAACCGGTCTATTGTCGCGATTCATTTGTTGGGACCACCCTCGGAATCACCCGAGCTCATCGCTACGGATGCTCGGGCCCTCGGGGGCCGTGAGTCCCGAGCAGCGCGTTTGGGTGGTCGCGCAGAGTTCGCGCAGCAGGTGTACCGCGTATCGAAGCCTAACCAGCGTGCTAGTCGTGCGATTGAGTTCGATTGGAAGCACGAGCACTGTATCTGAGTGAACGGAAACACAGCAAAGTATTTTGTACAGCAGTGTAGCCGCCCGTATACGATCCCTGTCGTCGCCCGGGGCGATATTCTGTCAAGTTGACAATGAGCGGAAGCTGCAACCGAGCGTGTGGCTCGTGAGATTTGCCCTGACGGAAAGGCTTGGCGGAAGTATTGGGTCCAGATGCGCGTCGTTGTTCCACCACAGCACCTCCAACACGCTAAACCGTGCCGCTTTTGTTACTCCACACAGCCCTTATAGGTTCGCTTAAGGCTGCTACTCGTCACTCCTTTCTACCTCCACTCCCTTCCCAGTAATCCCTCCCCCTCTCCCATCTTCTTCCTCTTCCCGTGATACCATCGGCTGCATCGCTTATGAGTAGGTTCCATTGCCTCCGCGGGGTTTGAAAGGGTTCTGACGCTTCCGGCACCTCTCTTAGCTAGCAACGACCACCACAGCGGGAATCTGAACGTTGACTTTGCAGACCCAGGCTCCAGCGTGCATACGGAGACGCCGTTACGGTGCGTTCAACTCTCGTGTCATAGTCGTCATGATAGGCGCCCAGGAGCATCCGGCCCCACGTTTCCTTCCATATACGCCTCATGTACGACACGGAATCTGACATCACTTATACTAGGCACGATTTCGCCACTGAGAACGCTACCACCACGACCGTAGCCAGCCCCAAGATGTCCTCTGCAGCACGAGTGAACAGCCGTCCGGACCGGGAAAATACCCTCCCAGACTACGAGGGCCCGACAGGCGGCGTAGACAATGCGTCCGGTAGGAGGAAACAGAACAAGCTCCTCAGACTTCTTCGGATGGCGAGTACACGCTTGAAGGACCAGGCTAAGCCTGAGCGTGCGATTGGCGCACCCCCGACACTATTCCAGCAGTTTAAGTCGGTCATCTTTATGTCCTGGTTGAATGTGCTACTGGTGTTCATCCCTCTATCCGTGCGTATTCTCGCTGCTCGTCGTATTACGGCCTTGCTGAACTGCGCTTCCAGTGGGCGTTCAATTTCGCAAACTTGGACAACACCCTTATCTTCGTCTGTGGGTGTCTCGCACCGGTTCTTCATACCGCGCAATACTGATTCGACGCAGTCTCCTTCATCGCCATTATCCCTCTTGCGCAGCTCCTTGCATATTCGACCGAGGAACTCTCAACAAGAGTGGGTCAGACGCTTGCCGGTCTCATCAACGCGACGCTCGGGAACGCGTACGTTCACCCGTTCTGGTCACTCAAACGTAGCTGACCGTCAACTAGCGTCGAGTTGATCGTTGCTATCATCGCATTGGTGAAATGTGAACTTCAGATCGTGCAGTCGTCTCGTGAGTCCTTCTCGTTCATTGATATTGGCGACGATGCTGCGCCGCGGCTCCCGAGTCAGCCGCGATGTTGCGGTCTGATGTACCGGCCCGTAGGAGGTCTGCGTGGCCCTCTAGCCGTTCGCGATTCCAAGCGTCGCATCGTCTCATACAGCAAAGAACATATGCTAACATGTTTCTTCCGCAGTGGTCGGCTCCATTCTGAGCAATTTGCGTGAGTTGTAGTCTTTGGTTCCACCGCTGCTGTCAATATTGACCCGCCCAACAGTCCTCGTACTCGGAATGTGCTTCTTCGCGGGAGGAACGAAGTTCGCGGAACAGGGCTTCGCATTCAGTGCCTCTCAGATCAACACGTCCCTGCTTACCCTTTCGGTCATTGCTGTGCTACTTCCCGCAGCCTTCCACCTCGCTCTTGAAGATACGCAGACAGACCCGAACAGCGACGCTCGGAAAGCGGAAGGCACCGACATCCTCGCGATCTCTCACGGCGTTGCTCTGATTTTGCTGTTCATCTACCTGTGCTATCTGATCTTCCAGCTCTTCAGTCATAAGTCCTTGTACGATGAAAGCAACCCCGAGAACCTTCACGCCAGCACGCGGTATTCGCCTCGCAGTGACAAGAACACGGCAATTCGCAATCGCCTCCGCCATCCATTCCATGGGAGCACCGAGAAGACTCCTGGTCTCGCTACCACTTCGAGCGGAAACGATATTGTCGGCTCCCCGCGGCCAGAGGCGCACGAGATGACGACTCCGGGTTCTCCTAGGGCCGATGTTGAGCAAGGACTCGCGGAGGAAGACGAGGAGGAGCACACCCCGCAACTCAGCGTTCTTTTCACCGTCATTCTTCTCGTCGTCGTTACGGTCCTTGTCGCTGTCACCGCCGAATTCCTTGTCGACTCCATCAGTGAGCTCACGGACACGGGAGTCATCAGCAAGGAGTTTGTCGGCCTCATCCTGTTGCCCATTGTCGGTAACGCGGCCGAGCACGTCACCGCTGTGACGGTCTCCGTCAAGGACAAGCTCACGCTCTCGCTCGGTGTTGCGGTCGGCTCCAGTATCCAGATTGCGCTCTTCGTCATCCCGTTCATCGTCACGCTGGCCTGGATTCTCGGCAAGCCGCTCACTTTGTTGTTCGACCCGTTCGAGAGCATCGTCCTTTTCTTGGCCGTTCTCACTGTCAACTACGTTGTTCAGGACGGCAAGAGCAATTGGCTCGAGGGCATGATCCTGATGTGTACGTTTTATCCCCCCGCTTCTGTGGGCACTATACTGACGACCGTCTAGGTCTATACATCATCTGCGCCGTCACATTCTGGTACTATCCTGGTAGCAATATCGCGGACACGATCACCAGCGGTTGCGATGGCGTTTAACCAATGGATCCAACCTTGCTTATCCCGAACATACTGTAGTGGCCCTTGCACATGTTCGCTAGGCCACACATGCCCATCTTTCCACGTCAACGCAGCCATTGGTTGCTGGACTCTGTCACGATTCGCACTGTCTATATACCCAGGAATAACCTTCCCCTTCCCCTTCCCATCTTGAACCCCGCTATCCCTACATCTGCTGTCGTACCTGTCCCCTTCTGGCCCACACCATTACTACGACTTCTCTTATTTGTGTCACACATCGTATAATAGATACATGACCGTCCAGCCTCCTTCCCCTTTTGCGGACGCCAATCGTACTCTATCACCTCCGGGACCAATGGACCTGGAGTATAGGCTTACGCCTGTATAGAGACGGTTGGGCTGTTGCTGTCATCTCGATCTGAATCTATAGGTTATCTACTACTACGATCTTCAGATTCGGTACTGTTACCCTCGCCTCAGTCTGGACAACCATGTAGCTTATATACGGCTCTATATACTTGTGTGCCCGAAGAAGAAAAGGCCTGGCCAGCTGGGAAAGAAGTTTAGGTGAGACGTAAATGTTAAGCACATGGTATGGTATATTGTTCTGAAACTTGCGACTAATCCAGTCGCAAATAGCAACATTTTTGGTAAAACTTTGTGCGACGCTATATGAAGGTCCTGCCAGGACTCGAACCTGGGTTAGCGGAAGATCCGACAATCAGAATCCGCTGTGATAACCACTACACTACAGGACCGATGACGCGAAATCATGTGGCGTAAGTCTCTCGAGCACTGCTATTGGGGAGGAAGAACACGGATATGCTATGCGGGGACCGAGACAAAGTACAATTGATGAATGTATTGAAAGCTCCAGACTAGCGTGACATGTAGGATGTGCAGGTGTATCGAACCGAGAAACAAGATTATAGCTTCGCCTTGGGTGCGCCCTCCGCAAGAGTGGCAGCAGCTGCCGCGAGGACACTGGTGCCGCGCTCCTTCACCTTCGTCTCTGCAGGCACCATCAGCACCAAGCACAATACCGCAAAGAGCAGAAGGAGGAGACGCACGGAAGATGACCTTATTACCCTCTTTCCACATCTCCGTGACGAGCGTCTCGCCGGGGTAAACGCTGCTAGCGAAGCGAACCTTGATATCGCTGAAAGCGCCGTACGTCTTCAACACGTGCTTTCCCGCGATACCCATAAAGCAAAGACCTGACCATCATCAGTATATAGCGTACAACACCGCGAGATGACCCAATAACGTACCATGCAGAATGGGCTTATCAAAGCCGCCGACAGCTGCGAACTCTGGTTGAATCTGATAATGGGCGGGATCGTCAGAGCGCTGAGATGATAAGGTAGAGAGCACCCTGAAACGTACATGCAGAGGGTTGTAATCGCCGCTCAAGCGGTACAACGCAGCCTGAGACTCGAACGTCTTTTCCTCGACGACGGCGTCTGGTGCCCGCTTCGGCACAGGGTTCGCAGCGCTCGCCGCACCACGGTCGCTGCCCTTGGTCTTTCCGCCAAATCCGCCCGAACCGCGAATGACGAGCGTGCTCTGGTTCTCGAAGATGACTTTACCGGAGTGCTTGTCCTTGGTCGTGACGATCGCAGTGACGGCCGCGGCCTTGCCCTTATCGAGCACCTCCAACAAGCGCGCCTCGTTGACGAGCTCGGCAGACGTCGGAATAGGGCCCTTGATGGAGAGGTACTGCTCGCCGTGCAAGAGCTTCGCGGGGTTGAAATTGGGCAGGAAGTCGAGCGGCAGTGAGCTGCTGGCGGGGAACTGCGGGATAACGCCGAACGTGGGCAACGCGGAGAAGTCTTCGTGGTTTTCGAACGTCCATTGGAGCTCCTTCTCTGTCGCGCCGATGCCGAGATTGTACAGGATCACGTCGCGCTCGGTGTAGCTGAACTCTGTGGGCTCGGGAACTTCTTTCTTTGCGTCGCGGACGAGCTGGGAGTCTTCGGGGTCGTCGTGCGGGGAAGAGGAGGAAGACTCTTCTTCGCCGCCTTCGTTGTTGAAGTTAGCGACGAGAGGCTCCATGCCCTCTTGAGTAGATGCCGGGTTCGATGAGCGGTCGTCGTCTGTAGACCAGTCGTCAGCAAAGCTAGTTTAGAACATGGAAACATGGATGAACTCGCCGAAGTTGGTGATCTTCGCCCACTTCTCCTTGATCGCCTCGGGCGTGAGCGCCTTCTTGATCGAGAACCCATGTCCACCAGCAAGCTGCCAGCGAACCTGCGCCGCCCAACCGCCCGAAACCTCAAAGAGACCACCAGTTGTCTCGTTCTCCTCGCTCGTGAGGTACCCAACGACGGGCGCAACAAAGTCAGGCTTGAACGCGTCGACCATCTCCTTCGGCCAGACGGTCATAGTCATAGCGGTACCAGCGGACGGCGCGATGGCGTTAGCGAGGATGTTGTACTTCGCGCCCTCAATCGCGAGTGTGCGTGTGAGGCCGATGATGGCTGCTTTCGCGGTCGTGTAGTTCGTTTGACCAAAGTTGCCGTCTGTGAGGTCGCCGGTCAGCTTCTACTTCCCGGGCAAAGAGAATAGCGTGTACGCACAGATTCCAACGCCGGAAGAAGTCGTCACGATACGGCCGTACTTCTGCTTCTGGAAGATGGGCCATACAGCCTTCGCACACTGTGAAAGCAAGTTAGATAAGCGAGCTGTGTGAGCAGTGCATGTGAAAGTGGACGTACCCTGTATGTACCGCGCAGGTGAACGGCGATGACGGCGTCCCATTCGGCTTCGGTCATGGCGGTGAATGACTTGTCGCGGAGGATACCGGCGTTTGCGATGAGGATATGAACACCGCCAAAGGCGTCAAGAGCCGCTTTCACGATGGCTTCGCCATCTTCTGCTGAGCAAACAGCAGCAACAGCCTTGCCACCAGCTATTATTGGTTATTAGAGCCGAAAACACGCGAAAGGCAGTTGAGACACGTACCCTTCTTAACCTCGTCGACGACCGCAGCAGCGCCCTTCTCGCTCACATCGTTCACCACGACGTTGGCGCCAAGGCGACCGTACATGAGCGCATAGACGCGTCCTAGACCTGCTCCTGCACCGGTGATGATGGCAGTCTTGCCGTCGAAGCGGGTCTCGGGCGTAGCCTGCTCGTTCGGCTTCATGTTCTTCGCCTTCTCGAGCTTCTCGATGATGTTGCCGTCCTGCATACTCTGCGGGCTACAGCCATTCTATCAGAACGAACTGTTCGTAACCGCGATGAATGAACGATATACGTACTGGTCGGGGTTGGTGAAGTCCGTGACCTCTTCCCAGCGCGCCTTGACAGCGCTCGGTGTGAACGAAGCGTCGGTCTTGAAGATGGCGCCCTTACTACGTTCCCAACGAATCTCGGAGACGTATCCAGCACCAAGAACGAAGACGCGGCCATTCGCGTCAACACCTTCTGGATGTGTGACAAGCGCTACGAGTGGGGCAACGTATTCGGGCTTGAAATGCTCGAGCATCTCTGGCGGCATGATTGTTGCAGTCATCGCTGAGGCGGCAATCTACCACATTGCCGGTCAGTGTGAGTCGAGATGAAGATATGTAGATACGTACGGGTGCGATGGCGGTGGAGAGGATGTTGTATTTGGCGCCCTCGCGTGCGAGGGTCTTGGTGAATGCGACGAGACCCATCTTCGCTGCGCTGTAGTTCGCCTGGCCGAAGTTGCCTACATTGTATGAGCACACAGTGAGACATGATAGGGAGAGAAGGACAAGCGTACCGAAGAGACCTGCTGCGCTCGCGGTGTTGACGATACGACCGAACTTCTGTTTGCGGAAGATAGGCCATGCAGCCTTGGTGCAGGCAAATGCGCCCTTGAGGTGCACCTCCTGGATCTGGTCCCACTCCTTGTCCGTCATGTTCTTGAAGCTATATCACGAGTCAGCCTTCGGAAATCTCCTGTAAACCAAGTATATAGCTCGTACCCCTTATCCCGCAGGATTCCGGCGTTGTTGATGAGGATAGTGACCGTGCCGAAGGCGTCGACAGCGGCCTTGATGACTGCCGCGCCATCCGTTACAGATCCGATCTGCGCGACGGCGTTTCCGCCGCCTATCCCACTGTAAGTACTATACACTTTGTGGAGGACTCTCGTATACGTACCGGCCTTGATCTCATCTACGACTGCTTGTGCTGCAGCAGCGTTGAAGTCGTTCACCACGACGTTCGCGCCGCGCGAGCCGAACAGAAGACAATATCTATCCCCATTCAGTCAATTCAAATCTCATACGGAATAAAAGCAAGGGGACGCACGCCTTGCCGAGGCCTCCACCGGCGCCGGTGACTACGACTGTGTGGCCCTTGAATGAGAGCGACATGGTGGGATGAGTTTAGGAGAAGAAATGCGGGGTTGCGCGCTCGACGCGCCGACGTAGACATTCGGGTTCGTGGGCGCCGCATGTGATTGTTCTGACCCCGGACATGACATGTGCGTTCCTCTGCTCAACCTCCTGCGCAGACGGTCGCATGACGAGGGGTTTCGCTTTCAGCTGCCATTATACGGCACGGTGATACACCGGTGCGTGTTGCAGAGAGCTTATTGCCCTGTAAGCTGTGGCGTGGCCCTCGGTAAAGCGAGCGCTCGCCGGAGATAGACCCGCGGTATATTGAAACGCGTGACGTCACGCGCGTAGAATACTCTTCAGCAACTCGTTTTCCTTGCTAGGGATCGGGTCTATTCTGATCGGGTGGAACGTCGAGATCATCAAGTAGGACATGATGGGGTAAGGTGGCATTGTGGAAACAGGGATGATAGCATGAGTGCGCGACAGAGACTATGGTACAAGCATACAAAGGGGTCAGCAGCCCAAGGCGATTCATAGCATTGCGAGGGTAGGGGTGTTGGTTGTAAGGAGGCTCAAGATCTTTTGTGGACAAGACGCATCATGCATCAGGTGTCGTGATAACATAAGGTTCGTATCTACACAGAATCGGGCGAAGTCAGTTCATACGGATAGAGCACAGGGTCCTGGAACTCACCGCGGGTATCTTCACCCGTTCAGTCCACATCTCCTTCCAGCTCATCTATCTCATGATCCAGACCCGCATCATAACGTTCTGTAGGACTTGCGAGGTAATAACCACCGTCTTTATCGACACGCAGATAACCCAGGGGAATGCCGTTGAAGCCCAATAGTCCCGTATTCTCGCCGTCAGGGTTAGGAGCTCGTGGCAATGCGATAGGTATCTGGAGTACGATTGATGGTTCCAAGGTGCGTAGTCGAGTGTTTAACTGTGTATGGTCCCCTCTGCGGTGCAGACCCTGTGCGTTGAGGACAATGCTTGGGCCTGGTGGCGGCTTCGGCTTGTTGTCATTACGACGAGGTCCTTCGTAAGCTTCTCCACGTCTGGACGTGCAATTGGTACACAAGCAACTGTTTTCGCATCGAGGGCACATGAAGTTGTTGCTGGTCAATGTCGTATTGAAGTCGATGTCAGTGTACCTGCACGAACCGTCAATGATCTCCTCGAAGCGCGCAATGTATACGCACTCACCATCTCTCAATGCAATGTCTGCAATATGCCAGCTTGCAGGCGCGTCGGCGATTCGAACGATTACGTCCGCTTACGCAAACTAGCAGGTTCGAAACCGGTCTTTTGTGCCGACACTGGTGGCAGAAGCGAGTACTGGGCTTATCAGGCGATGCAGATGCCAGAGGTTTTGATTCAAGTTCCGAGTAAGGCGTCGACAGCGAGTTTCCATAAGCCTGATATGTGCCGAGAGGCTGCAGCCCCTATGAGAACACTAGCGAAGACAAACTCGTCTCTACTGCTTACGGTATTGGTAGCGGTATCATGCTGGGAAGATCCACTGTCCTCGTGTGGCACTGCCCACGACACCTTCGGGCTCCGTTCGGGCTCATAGTAAGGGCTCAGGTGCGGGTCCTGTATGGCCAAATACTTAGTATGCTTTCTTCAGGTCAGAGGCTTTTCAACGCACGCTCGTGGAATACGCTCGCGATGTGGTGTGAGCCTGCTACGGAAGGCAATGGACACGATCAACCATCAAGTCAATGAAGAGCGCTCGCACTTCGGACGTACCGAACTGTTCCACGCTGGGCGCGCCTGGTGGTCTTGAGTGCCATCTACAGTTACGTCGAGCCCAAGCTGTTCTTCAACTTCTGTATCGGACTATAATCCTCTCGGCATGAGACACTCTGAAGGTATCGAGAGCGGGCTACGTCGTACGCCGCAGCTTTCGTGAGGATCATGAGCCAATCGTATGTCTTCCTGCGACAGATCTCGATTAGCGTGCGTCCGAGTCTTTACAGTACGAGGGGACCGATGCGCCGCGTACCTGCCCTGACATTGTATACGGTACCGATCCGCGTCGCGGAGACGACGCGATCGCCGTCTGCAAGTCTGGAGATTGAGCTGCGGCTCTATCGGATGCACGTTGATCCGATCAGAGTTACACGATGCACGGTCGGGCCCTTTAGCCTGCGTACTGAGGTCATAGAATTTCAACACCCGCACGGCGCAGGTTGAGAACGTTCGCACCACCGTAACTCGTCGAGTGTCAAAGTCGAACTCGCGTGCGCCACTGAGAGCGTATTTTACTGCCTCGCCAGGCAAGCTCCACGCATGATCACACAGCACAGATTGTCAAGTGTAAGGCACATTTCAAGCGTGCATTCCGGAGAATATATAACAAAACTAGAACGAAGAGGAATGGGAGGGAAGGGGAGAGTGCGGCCGCGCCCCGGGCGCGGTGAGCTCGGGTTTGGAAGCCCGCGCTCACACGAGCCGCTTGCGATGATGTAGAGACGTATGCGAGAGAGGAAGTGTCCGAATGGGGATGCGTTCGGAAGAGGAAGAAGCGGAAGGGGATGGAGCGTTTGTATGTATGCCAAAGAAGGGAGCCTGGAATGTGAACGAGCGGCGTGCACCTGTAGGCGCGTATATGTTTGTATGTTTTTGGTCTTATATGGGTTTGGGTTGACGTTTGAATGTGTCGGAAGATAATTCAAAGGGGAGAAGCAGAATGCAATTTCGATGATATGGGAACAGACAGCAGCGAGATGATGGAGAGCGAGCGAGCGACATATTCGGGTGAGATGGCATGTGTTCAGAGGGGGTCAGAGCAGACAAGCATGCAAGGGTCAGGTCAAGACGACGACGGAAAGGGTCCGTGTTTCGCATAATGCGCAAGGCGCGACGTGCGGTATTTCGGATTCAGAGGTATTCAAACACAATGGGTGGATACGAGGATGATTGGGGAAGTTCGATCGACTGACGAGAGACTGCATGGATGGTGATGACGGAACTGGACTGGGTTGGGTTCGTTCGGGGAGGATGTGATGCGGATGACGGATATGTGGGCAAAGAAAGGGTGGTAGGAATGGCTAGAAGAAAAGAAAGATGATTGGAGAGAGCTGGCAAAGATAGACAGAGAGAGGAAAGGGGAATACTGACGGGAGACAAATCGAGATGCGGAGAGTGGGGATATAGCACATATGTTTCGTCGATAGTTCGGGACGGGAGATGGTTTGCATGTGGGCAGACAGACGGACGGACGGGCAAGGCAAGACGAGGGGCTGAGATGCATGTAGATCGGAGCTCGGCATGCGGAGATAGATGCTCAAGGACGACTGGCGTCGGAAGGCATGGAGGATAAGGAAGACCGGGAGCCAGCGGCTCTTACTCGGCAACCATGTCCTCGTTGATGAGACCGCACATCTCGCGCGCGCGGTCGACGGCGAATGCGGCAGCCTTGAGGAACTTCTTGTGCGCGTACTTCTTGTAGACGTAGAGCTTGTCAAAGCCGGTCTCGCACATCTTCTCGAGCAAGAAGTGGAAGCCGGGGCGGAGCTGCTCCTCGGTGAAACCGGAGTAGTACACGAACGCGTCGTCCTGAAAAGGGAAGGAGCGTCAGCACGAGTTGCGCAGGCCACGTGGGACATGTGGCTAGTCGCCGCCGACAGGGCACGAGCCTGCCAGGCTTTACCCACGACGGCGACGATCCATAAACAATGAACTTACCCAGTCTCCACCGAGCATCCTGCGCGAAGTGTACATGCCGATGGCCGCGACCATGCTGGGCTTGACGCGGAGGAAGCGGTGGTCGTGCAGGCAGACCTCGGCGATGAACTTGGAGAGGGTGCGCGTCTGCATGTCGTAGTCGTCCGCCTTGCTGATGCGGCGCATCCAGGAGTATGGCGAGCAGTAGTGCGAGACCTTGAAGTCGAGGGTCATGAGGATGATGCGCTCGCCCTTGAGGATCTCCTTCTTGCTGAAGGCGTTCTCGGTCATAAACACAAACTCGTCCGCGCTCGGTGCGAGCACCTCCTCGTACTTGCTGGCGATGAACATGGCCGTGACGCCGACGAGCTGGAGCTTCTCGAGCGAGACGACGCGGTGGGTCAGGAAGCGGTCGATGATGTTGATCGCGATCCAGAGCGTCTCGGGCAGCATGTGGTAGCGGAGGTGAACCTGGACGAGCCAGTCGACAAGCGTCTGGCGCATCGCCCAGGTAATTTCGTTCTGGTCGTCCATGTACGTTGCGCTGGGCATGACATCGTCCTATGAACCGATGAGCTTACAGGTATAGGAAGACGTAATTGATGGGAACGAACCTCGAGGGAGTTCATGTACTCAAAGATCTCGTCGGCGTACTCGTGAACCATCGTAGAGTCGTGCTCCTCCTCTTCCTCCTGGAACTGGGTGCGCAGAGCTTGAATCTCGGACGCGTAACGCGCAGCGTGCGCGGGCGAGTACTCGGGCCAGAGGAAAGTCTTGGCCGGCGCCGCGGACGCGGCCTGCATGGGCGCGGCGGTGCTGTCTTCGTCGTCGCTGTCGGCGACCTCAATCATAGCCTCGACCTCGCGCTCGGGGGTGGCTTCCTCGACGTCCATGCTGTTCTCGCGGTCATCACTCGTAAGCGCCGGCTCCTCCTCGTCGACAACGATGGGCACCACTGCACGCGTACCAGACGCGCGCTGGGCTGGGCGCTGGGCGATGCGGGACGCACGGAAGGCGCCAGAGTGCGATTGCGAGGAGGGGACACGTGAGGCGGGAGCGGCGGGCTGGCGGCCCAGGGCGGCGACGTCAGCGACCGACGACGAGCGCACGCGCTTCTCCGGCACGTCGGACGCCTTGCCCTTGCCCTCGAGCTTCTTGAGGGTGTTCTGTAACACACAAATGAGTTGGAAGGTATGTGAATACAATGTTTGAATACGAACCTTGCGGTTGACGGCTGTGGTAGTGACCTCGTTCAGGACAGGGCGGCGAACGCCGACGGTGGTCTGCTTGGTGGCATGGATAGCGGCCCGGTTGGCGGCGGCGGTGTTGGCGGTAGTCTGTCGTAGCTTGCTGGTGGCGTTCTCGTCTGCGTTCTTGGTGCGCTGGGTGCCAACGCGGGGGCGAAGCGGGACCTGTGGTTCGTTGCGCTGTCAGTTCCTGTGGCGTCATCACGTATAGAGCACGGCTACTCACTCGGGAGGCCATTGATGTATACTGTGTAGAGTTCAAGTCAAGGTTATGTACTGTGTAGAATTGGAAGCGGCGGAATGCGCGGCTGAAATGCTAGGGCCGATATGAAGTGGCTGGGGAAATTAGCGACGACAGACGACGCGGTGGCGAGAGCGGGGCGGGAGGGAGAAGAGAGTCCTCGAGTAATACAGCTACGTTTCCGAGAGGAAAGCGTAGAAGAAGAGGTAAGAAGGAAAGCGGAAGAGGAGGAAGAGAAGAGAGGGAGTACGAGGACGTCTGCCGCTAAAGACGAAAGCAAGAGCGTTTCTGGGCCATAAGGAGGACTCGAACAGTCACGTGCAAGACGCCTCGAGGCGGCGACGAATATCT